ACGTAAAGATATTATTGAACAGTATTTAATGCAGTTTTGAGATTCGAACTAAGGTCTAATATTTTTCAATTTTGTTTTGCTACGTGTAAACATTGGTAAAGGTGTAAGTAACTAAATGAGTCCACTCCTTCTGAACTTTTTTTTAGTATAAATATCAGAAATACACTAAATTTTTAATTTTGTTATGCAATTGTTGTTGTAATTCTAATGGTTAAGAAAGCTTCATACTATAACAGAAGAACAATTACTAATTAAATTAAAACATCTTCTGTTTATATATTTGATTTATTTTTGGATTTCTTTTTTGTGTAACAAATTAACGGGATAATAAAAACATATTTAGAGAAGAACGTTGGGAGACAAGGTTTGTCCAGAGACAGAAGTCTTGATTTGTTTCTAGTGATTCATCAGGACAAAATTAGCGTATTTTTATGCATAATTATTGGAAAACAACCCTATTTTTCATTAAATAATACTGAAATCAAATAATTATGATTTAAACCATATAAAAAATTAAGCCAATGATACACATCTTAACAGTAACAGCTGTATAATTGACCACATGAACTGTAATATATGATGACACAGAGCTTAAATACTGTATTAATTCAAAACTAATCCTATTTGTCTTATTGCGATATTTTTTTTCTTATTGCGATATATGCTTATAATTTTGTTCATGTGCTCGAAAATGACAAACGTCACCCCAAAAGGACAAGGACAGGAGTTTCAACGACAACTACCAAATTTTGTGATATGAAAATTTAAATAAATCAAATACGAACTTTTGTTCCCGCAATTGACGGTTTAAAACGCAAAATAAGAAACACTATTTGACAGAAACTAAAGACGATGCTTATTTTAATGTCTTGAAAAAGACGTTACGCATTTTCTTATGATATTAAATTTTTTTTTGTGATGAACGAAATAATTCTACATTTTTAGTTCCTCATCGTAATCATCTTGATCTAAAAATGCATTTAAATTTTAAATTCCTCACGTTTATTTTATATAGGCCTGGGCTTTCGGTTAACCGTTCGGTTATCGGTTGGGTCTATTCGGTTTCGGTTCTTTTAGTTTCAAAATTTAGTATCCATTCGGATATTTTAAAATTTCGGTTCGGTTTCGGTTTTAAAATTTAGTATCCATTCGGTTATTTTGTTTAGGATATTTTCGGATATTTCGGTTATTTTTGAGTATTTTTGGATATTTTTGGATATATTTCGAATATTTTTACTATTTTAATATATTTTTCAAGTATTTTTGATTATTTAGTCTATAAATAACTAATTATTTTGAAAATATAATTGTATTTCGGATATTTTGGTTACCCGAAATATTTCGGTTTGGTACCGATTCGGTTACGGTTATTTCGGTTATAGAATTTAGTATCCATTCGGTTATTTTCAAATTTTCGGTTCGGTTCGGTTCAATTTTTTTGCTTCGGTTTCAGTTCGGTACATTCAGGTTTATTTACCTAGGCCTAATTTTATATGTACTTCGCCAGGTCTCAAGTTTGGGCTGGGCCGTAATGGGCTATTTGTGTTGTTGAGACTTGTGACTTTAGATTGATTTTGTATTCATAATTTGTCTTTTCAGGTTTTGTTATGCATAAAGTTAACAGATGATTTTTATTTTTTTTGATAACCGCAGAGTTTCATATTCAAACGAAAGGAATGGCTTTTTAAAAGTTGTAGTGATTTTATTTACTCAAAAATCATATTTTTAACTTGGAGATTGACGATAAAAACATACGAACGTGAATACTTAGTATAAAATATGAAAAGAAAACATGTTCTCTTTTATCTTTTGAAAAAAAGAAAAAGGAGATTCTTCTTAGCTTTTGTTTCATTAAGATTGAGTATGTGATGGGCAAGTGCCGACAGAAGATATATCTAGAGATCATGTTCGAAAGCTAACGGAAAAAAGGAAATCTAAAAGATAAAAAGATATGAATGATCATATTCCAAACCTGAGATGATGATGGCAAGTTTTGGGTTATTGAAAAAAAAAAAAAAAAGTTTTGGGTTATTGGAATTATTTGATTCACAATTGATAGATAATTCGATGCACGGTTTAGAACCTGATTCCTTAACGATCAAATTATAGTTAAAAAAAAAAGTATATATAGTTCAAATACGAATACGTTTTATGAATTTTCTAAATTTTTCATAGGTATGTTTTACGGTTTGATAAATTTTTATTTTTAGAAATCTGTATGATAAATGCATAATTTTTTTTTCTAAGAATATAAATATTTCATTAAAAATAAAACGAATTAAGGCAAATATATTTCATTAAAAAATATTTCAAGGCATTGATAAGAATTTAAGCTATAACTTGAGATATATTTTTAACAATTTGGTTAAACCTATTACGGAAATGGATGTACATAATGCCAACAAGATATAATAAGACTAATATGTGATATAAGATTTCGTATACATTTTACCAATAGAAAAGTATGCATGCAACGGCGATAATGATGTTAACTTTTTGGCCATCGTAAATTACGTCTACGGAACATCTAATTCATTATGGAAACGAATGTAACAGATTAATTATCATGATTCATGAATATGACTCTGCACTTGTGATTCTAATTTGGCGTCTATACCATCAAGATCAGTTTTTAAGATCATGTCCAAGTAAATATGTTCATGCTTCTTGTATATTAGACTAGTTCTTTGATTCTTTCACAACACGTTACTTCGAAATGATCATTCTTTTGATTCATTCATCTTGGATTGTATCTTATTTTCATTACAGATTAGTTATACTTGTTTGAGATTATTGGGATCTAATATGAATATCACGTGAGAAAATAATGAGTTTTCGACCGAAAATCAATTAGTAATAAATATTCGATGCCCTCTAATATACTAATGTTGATTATTTTACCATTTTTATGTTAGATTTTATCATTAAACGAAGCTTTAAAAATTATAAAAAGAGATGCATGAATGAAATGTAGAAGTCGAATTAATCAAAACCTATACACGAGTATTGTAAAATCACCATGATTAGTTCAACATTTTCTAGACCCGGTTCAACATTATCGAATTTGAATGCCCTACTCAAAATTAAAATTTTCGTCATTATTTTTGAATATTATATACTTATAAACGAAAAGAACATGAGAAATCTAATAGTAACGACAAAGAAAAATGTTAATCATCAAAACCAAAAAAATAAGAAGCAAAATTTTGGATCCAAATCTTATCATTTTAATAATATTTTAAGTCAAAAAGCAAAAAAGAAAAGAACAAAAAACCCAAACAATTTCTTACTTTCAATGACTGATAAAATTTAGTTTAAGTGGCTTAGCTATATATCTGAAGTCACAATGTCAGTTCAAGACTTCAAGCTATCTTTTGGGTAGAGAGCAAAAAAAGTACATGCAAGTGAAGTAGTTCAAAGTAGGCAGATAAGGGCATGTATAGTTAAAGGCAAGCACATTAATATAAGATAGGCATTCAAATCACTATCTTCAAGATAGCGTATTTCAGAGACAAGAAGAGTGGCTCAGGCATGATGCATGCATATATTTACTTCTTTTAGACAAACAAGTCTAGTAGGCAAAACAATTGCTATAGGAAGCATGGGCTAACAAATATGATCCTGATGAATGAGCAATAATGACTTCATTTGCTTAGCTATAGATGGTAGATCAAGTCTGAAAATCAGTATTCTAATACAAAACGTCAACACTATGTGTACGTACATGTGAAAAATGATCACATATTACATTTTTTGAAACCTTCACAGACAAATATCATCGACAACATTAAATCTCAGATATTTTTACCAAAACAATCTACCGAACCTAGCCTCTTTCATAAATGTCTTCATAAGCTGAAAACTATGATGAATATAAATAATTTACGCTGTAAGAGTTCAATATTTTAAACGTATATTTGTCTCAATGCTCAAGACAGAAGAATTTCAATGGCCAATAATGATTTTCACATTTTCTGAAACCTTCATAAACAAATATTATGACCAATATAGAAAATTTATAAAATGAAAACATTATCGGGAATTAGTCTAAATTTCTGTTTATAACCTCAGAACTATAAAGTTAGGTCTATACATCTCCGAATATATTTTTAGAATCTACAGTCTTCATGATATATCATTAGAAGCGCTTAACTACGGTGGTCACTGTTTTATTTAATTTCAAAGATTTGATATATATATCGTCGACTGCTCTTTTTCTGTATCCACTCTGAATTTATTTTCTTTTGGAAGGATATAGCTTCAATAAAATGGGAATTATATCGCTGGACCAAACTGTAGTTGGACTAATTAATTCATCATATGCAACAGATTTAGAAAAATAAACTATATATATATATATATATATATATATATATATATATTCTTCAAGGTCAAGCTTCTGTTACAGTATTTATGGAGATCATATGTATTAATGTATAACTAATTATTACAACTAATAAAGACCATAATTATACAAAAAATGTTTTTTTTTAATAAAGTCAGTAAAAATAGTTTTTTTTTGCCAACAGTAAAAATAGTTTCATCACCTCAATTTGCTTCTTCTTTTTTTTTTTTTTGGTTGAAAAAACAAGCAATGTCAAATTATATTATACTAGTAAAACTTTAAGTAGTTCATAACATTATACCTAAATTATTTTCGTATCCACCCCATTGTATGGAAGAAAAGTTCCATTGCCAAAATTTCACGCAACTAATAGTCAACTACATATAACATACAACACAAATACATGTATGAAAAATATTTTACTTAATAAATTTAATTTAAAAGCTATATATATATATATAATATTTATTTATATTCATTTTCATAGATTATTTATAATCAACTAACGATTTTTCCCATACTTAAGAAATATGGGAATCCATACTCTTTGGCTTTTAAGATAAAATTTTTTTTGTCGTTTATGAGTAAAATAAGATTTTTGAAGCATATGTGACAAATCCAGAATACGTTAAACATTTGAGCCGGATAATTGGTAAGTTTTCCCACCAAAAAACCTCAGCTTCAATCAAATAAGTTATTAGATATGATTGAGTTATTAATAGACTCAACCAATTTTCTTTTCACAAGTTTCTTTATACATATATTATTATATTATATTATATCACATGTTCTATATATACACACTATATACATACACGCACATGCACATTACTTTCACCTAGGCCATTCCTCTTTCAAAAAAATCGACGACCCAAAAAGGAAAGCACAAAACAAAAAGGGATGAAAATCTTATCTCAAACCCAAATCCTTTTTCTCTCTATAGCTATTCTTCTCTTCATCACATCGTCATCATCATCATTATCACCATCATCATCATCACCTTCATTATCACCATCACCATCATCGCCACCACCATCATCATTATCACCATCATCACCGCCACCACCATCGTCATCACCACTATCATCATTATCACCTTCATCACCAGCACCATCATCATTATCACCATCATCACCACCACCACCATCGTCATCCCCACTATCATCATTATCACCTTCATCACCACCACCATCATCATTATCACCATCATCATCAACATATTCAAATCAAACCAGCTTAGATTACATCAAAACATCATGTAACCTTACACTCTACAAAACCCTTTGCTACAACTCTCTATATCCTTACGCCTCAACAGTCCATTCCAACCCTCACAAACTCGCCGTCACCGCCCTCAATCTTACCCTCTCCTCCGCCAAATCCGCCTCCAAATTCGTCAAAAACATATCTCACCGAGGCGGTCTAACACTTTTGGAAGCGGTTGCGGTTGCTGATTGCGTGGAAGAGATTGGAGACTCCGTGATATCGCTTCAAGATTCCATAAGAGAGTTGGATTCTATCAACTATAAAGATAGTGCAAAGTTTGAGATGGTTATGTCGGATGTTGAGACATGGGTTAGTGCTGCTCTCACGGATGATGAAACATGTATGGATGGCTTCAGTCGAGTCAAAACGGCCGTGAAAGATTTGGTTCGGCGACATGTTGTTGAGGTAGCTCGGCTGACTAGCAACGCGCTTGCTCTTATTAATATGTTCGCCTCTACGGAGGAAAACTTTTCATAATTAAATATTTGTTCATATACACAAAAAAATGTTTTATACTTTTATTAGCTAACTAAAAGCTTATGATTATATGTATGTGTCACTTTGTACTTGTTATAGGAATTGTTGATTTTTCTGTGTATATAATAATGTACTTGTAGTCTGTGAAGATTTTGTACTTCCTCTGTTCCTAAAAGGTTGATGTTTTAGCTTTTGTTGTTTGTTCCACAAAAATTGATTTTCTAGTAATTTTATTTTATTTTTATTGACTTATAATAGTAAATTGTAAACTTCAAGATACAATGATTATAAATCATTAACTTTCTTAGACTACTATTGGTTGATAATTATTAAAAATATTTAAAATTAAAAAACAATGTTAAAATGATCAAAGAATGATTGAGTTCTTAATATGTGTGACAATTCTAAAAAATCAAACAATTAGGAACAGAGGAAGTATAATTTTTGAAGATGGTGAAAAAGTCTCAACACTTTGTTGGGCTCTTTCGGGATTGCTTTATGGCTAGAAAAGGCCCACAAATATTTTCTTGGTAAGATTCATTAGTGATACAATTAGAAATTTAGGAGGGATTATTGGTTCATAGATTTATATGGAATTAGAAATCCAAACAAAAATCATTTGTTATTCAATCATTGATTTTAAAATCCTAATTAAATTCATGTGTTATTGGTTCTATGATTTATAAATACTAGTTAAAATCTTATGTTATTCGTTTAGTCATTTGTTTTTGGATTTGAGAATCCAAATTATGTTTTAAATGGAATTGAATGGAATTGAAAGAGAAAAATAGAAGGATTCAAATCCATGGGTAAACACATGTTATTTCAAAATCCATATATCTTGATTTCATAATTAATAGAAATTTTCAAATTCTATATGAATTTACAAATTAACAAACTAATAACACCCCCTTAGAATCATAACCATAGTCATAGTCTATCTTGTTAAGCAAAACCTAGTTATACTTGCACCTTCGTCTCCTTTTTTCATTGTTTTTCCTCCGTCTGTTGTGAAATAGCTGTGTGTGTGTGTGTTTTTTTTCTGAATAACATTAATTTGAGCTTTATTAATTAGATTTTCGAGCTTATAGATATGGTTATGATAGTAATTGGTCAATACATTTAGGAGGGAAATCATAAATGAAACACGAGCTATATTGGAATGTCCGAGACGTGCCAGCTTCCCGACTACATATTATACCACTTGAACACCCACAAACATATTAATCCATGTGTTATATCGCCAATCAAGTTTGCCATAGTTGTGTAATTCTTCCTTCAACCTCTTTTAAGTTTGACAACTAGTTTTGATATATGAGAAATACAATTGAACACTATACAACATTAACTAAAAATGTCGAACTCAAATACGCAATCCAAAAATCAAACAATATTGAATCAATATGATATAAATGGATTTGACTTTTATTTCAATATCCAAAAAACCGAATTCGAATCCAATCAAAACCGAAAAAAAAAAAAATTAAAACCAAAACTTCTTTGAAAATTCAAGATATATTTAACTAAAACCGTAATATATTCAGTTTTACGTAAGATACTATTATTTATGGACCAAAAATCCAAAAAAAAACAAAAATGTAAACAAAAAATCCGGATTAAATACCTATTCGGAATTTCGATTCCACTTGTTTACCAAAAACAGTTTAGACGGTGACGTGTCTCCTTATCCATTTGGACCAATAAAACCTTGAGAATTTTTATAGACCATATAAAAAACCGACGAGAGAAATAAAATAACAATTTAATAAACCAACGGTTCAGAAACAAACCACGCCAAGCCCAAAAGGCTTCGTTATCCCCAAGCCATACGCAGTGATACGTTAGCCAAAGAGTGACCAATTGATTCAATATCATCCTAAGAGGAGAAGAAGGAAGAAGAAGAAGAAGAAGAAGAAGAAGAAGAAGAAGAAAGAAGCGATTTTGATAAAAATGGCGGCGGATGCTCTGAGAATTTCGAGTTCTACTTCGGGTTCGTTAGTTTGTAATCTTAATGGTTCACAAAGACGACCTGTTCTTCTTCCTCTGTCTCATCGTCCAACGTTTCTGGGTCTTCCTCCTCGAGCTTCATCTTCTTCCATTTCTTCTTCAATTCCTCAGTTTCTGGGTACTTCTCGTATTGGGCTTGGTTCTTCCAAGCTCTCACACAAGAAGAAATTCTCAGTCTTCGCTGCAGCCGAAGGTCTGTGTCATCTCTCTCACCAAGCTTTCATTTTTTTACTTACATAATTCGATTTTTGTCATAAAAGTTTGAAATTTCCTACTTGCCTTCAAAGTGTTCGTCAAAATGCCTCTGAGAAGTGTTTTTACTCTGATATTGCTAAAAATTTGAACTTTATGCTGAATTGCTTCATTTTATGTGTGTTTTCTGCTGTTATATAGGAGAGGCTAAGCGCGCTGTACCGCTTAAAGATTACCGAAACATCGGTATTATGGCTCACATAGACGCGGGAAAAACTACAACAACTGAGAGGATTCTTTACTACACAGGAAGAAACTACAAAATCGGTGAAGTTCATGAAGGGACAGCTACAATGGATTGGATGGAACAAGAGCAAGAAAGAGGAATCACTATTACCTCAGCTGCAACCACAACGTTTTGGGACAAACATAGGATTAATATTATTGATACACCGGGTCACGTCGATTTCACTCTTGAAGTTGAACGTGCTCTTAGAGTTCTCGATGGAGCTATATGCTTGTTCGATAGTGTTGCTGGTGTTGAGCCTCAGTCTGAGACTGTGTGGAGACAAGCTGATAAATACGGTGTGCCTCGGATTTGCTTTGTTAACAAAATGGACAGGCTTGGAGCTAACTTTTTCAGGACTAGGGATATGATTGTGACCAATTTGGGTGCTAAGCCATTGGTGCTTCAGATTCCAATTGGTGCTGAAGATGTCTTTAAAGGTGTTGTTGATCTTGTGAGGATGAAAGCTATAGTTTGGTCAGGAGAAGAGCTTGGTGCCAAGTTCAGTTACGAGGATATTCCAGCGGATCTTGAAGATTTGGCTCAAGAGTATCGGGCTGCGATGATGGAATTGATTGTTGATTTGGATGATGAGGTCATGGAGAACTATTTAGAAGGAGTTGAGCCTGACGAGGCCACGGTAAAGAGATTAGTTAGAAAAGGAACCATCACCGGCAAGTTTGTGCCTATTCTATGTGGTTCAGCCTTTAAGAATAAAGGTGTGCAGCCATTGCTTGATGCTGTGGTTGATTATCTGCCTTCGCCGGTTGAAGTCCCGCCGATGAACGGAACAGATCCTGAGAACCCGGAAGTTACCATTATACGGAAACCAGATGATGACGAGCCATTTGCTGGGTTAGCATTCAAGATCATGAGTGATCCTTTTGTGGGTTCTCTTACATTTGTGAGGGTTTACTCAGGGAAAATATCGGCTGGTTCTTACGTGTTGAATGCTAACAAAGGAAAGAAGGAGAGAATCGGAAGACTATTGGAAATGCACGCAAATAGCAGAGAAGATGTTAAAGTGGCTTTGACAGGTGACATTATCGCTCTTGCGGGTCTCAAAGATACAATCACTGGTGAGACCCTGAGTGATCCAGAAAACCCTGTTGTTCTTGAACGAATGGACTTCCCTGATCCCGTCATCAAGGTAGCGATTGAGCCAAAAACGAAAGCAGACATTGATAAAATGGCGACAGGATTGATCAAGCTCGCTCAAGAAGACCCGTCTTTCCATTTTTCCCGTGATGAAGAGATGAACCAAACCGTCATTGAAGGAATGGGAGAACTTCATCTCGAGATTATCGTTGACAGACTTAAAAGAGAGTTCAAGGTAAAACATAACCTAAAAACTAATTCTCTACTTGAAGCTTCCAAGTTTCTAATTCCTTTTCATCTTTCAGGTGGAGGCTAACGTTGGTGCACCACAAGTCAACTACCGTGAGAGTATCTCCAAAATAGCGGAAGTGAAATACACACACAAGAAGCAGTCAGGTGGACAAGGTCAGTTTGCTGATATTACAGTCCGGTTTGAGCCATTGGAAGCGGGATCAGGATACGAATTCAAGAGTGAGATTAAAGGAGGAGCTGTGCCAAGAGAGTATATTCCCGGTGTCATGAAAGGACTTGAGGAGTGTATGAGCTCCGGTGTGCTTGCTGGTTATCCGGTTGTTGATGTCCGTGCTTGTCTAGTTGACGGATCTTACCATGATGTGGACTCAAGTGTGCTAGCTTTCCAGCTTGCTGCAAGAGGAGCTTTCCGTGAAGGGATGAGGAAAGCGGGTCCGAGAATGCTTGAACCTATCATGAGAGTTGAAGTTGTTACACCAGAAGAACATCTTGGTGATGTCATTGGTGATCTTAACTCACGAAGAGGTCAAATTAACAGCTTCGGAGACAAACCCGGTGGTCTCAAGGTATGTTTTAATCAAAATGATCGAAAAAACCCCAAAATCATTGGATGATGAATTTGATTTTGACATCGTTGGTCTTATTCTTGTTGTAGGTGGTGGATTCTCTGGTTCCATTAGCAGAGATGTTTCAGTATGTGAGTACATTGAGAGGGATGACAAAAGGTCGAGCTTCTTACACAATGCAACTGGCTAAGTTCGATGTTGTTCCTCAGCATATTCAGAACAAACTTTCAGACAAAGATCAAGAAGTTGCTGCTTAGAACAGATTTTGTTTTGCCTACACTTAAAACTTATTGTGATTTTGTTTGGTCTATTATATAGGCATGTAAGCTAATCAAATTTGTTATTGTCTTAAAACACATGGATATGAGAAAAAAAATCGATATATCAGAAAAGTCTGAAAAATGGGACGAATTCGATCTTAGTGTTTGGAGTCATAAAAGAGTAATGAATCAGCAGAAATTGAAATCAATGTCTTCGCTTCTAGGTTTATTTCATCTGGACGATTCCTGAGCTGATAAGCTTTTGGATTTTGTTCATGATCATTGGGTTCTGCATGTGTTTTTGTGCTGCTGCTGGATTCTCCTGGAGATCAGACAGTACCTGTTCAAACAACAAGTGTTAGATTTTGGTGAGACATAGAGAGATTTGTGAATTGTCTACAGAAGTTTGTTTCTTTACCTGTCTCATTACAGGATCTGTGAGAATGTTCTGGATTTCTGGGTCTTGCATTCCCTTAGCCTGTAATAAGAACGAAAGCAAAATCCCAAAAGTTTAATTTAAGATCACGGGTTTCTCTTCACCGA